AAAGTTTCACTATATTCCTAACTTTTTTGATATAATTAAATATGATAATGGCAAACTGTTATTTCATTTCATTTTTATTAGCTAAATATTATATTTATTGGAAAAACAAAGAACCAATAACAGTATATTATTTGATATCAAAGCAATTAATTAGATCATTGAATAATTCATATACTATTGTTTATACAATGAAGTAATTAATGTTATATATAATAAATAGCATAAGTACTGGTAATATAACGTAGTAATAATGTAAGTTAACAGCTGATTACGTCTATTTGTTTTTTTTTCGCAGTGTTACCTAAATATGTTATCAAAAATTAATTATTCAAATTTTGTTGACAAATTCCTCATAATTATATTATTTTGAATTTTGTTAAAGTGCTTAGTTTTTCATTCTTACAGAATGAAATTTATCAGTATTAAGTCTAATTTGTTTTGTATTATGTTATTCATGGATTAATTACAATGATAGTAGTTTGATCATTAATACATTGCTATGATCATTAATGGACAAATATCTTTTGACATCCTGTTCATGTCATTTGCCAAAGATAGGTGACAGATAAGCGATCATCATCAGGATCAATATATTTATTTGTGTCTTAATGTATAGTATGTTTGATATTTTGGAACTACTAGCTATTCAAAAATAAAATTACAAAATTGAAATTAAAATTTTCTAGCAAATTTGGAACGTCCAATTGTTTAATTATAACTATATTTTAGGTATAGAAATATTGTATTACTTTAAAATAATTCAAACTCACATTAATTAAATACGATATTCCGCATAATTTTGCTATAACTATCTACTACAACTATTTTTTGACATATCAGAGTTCTTTCTTTAACAAACAAAAATTATGTGACAGTGTTTTGCAGTTGCACAATTTTCATTACAAGTTAATAATTTCAGATAATCTTTGATTATTTGACCCCTATTTTATCAGTGTTGTTAGTTTTTTCGTCCATTTGTTATTCCAACGACTTGATCAATAGAAAATTCCTACAATATCAAATGAGTGTAATTTTTGAAGTAAAAAACAAAAAGAAAAAGAAGAGATTTCTAATTTCCTTCTCACATTATTGTTATAGTATTCGATAAAAATGAACATAATATAATATCATTGTCCACTTTGGTAAATAAGCTTTTCAGTTGACCAAAGTTTGCTTTCTTTCCTCCTTTGTCCATTGTTTCCTCATCAACTATGAATAACAACACCTGAAGTTTGAAGTGAATGACACACACACATACACACACACACACACACACACATACACGCACACACACCTACACATATATACACATACCCACCTCCAAACAAACAGGCATTATGCAAATATTCGTATGAGTTGCTCTACTGTCCTGTCAAGTGTCAAGTGGTCCCGGAATTACAGGTCACACATAGCTTTCCTGTCCACAACTGCTAAACCTCGTTTACACAAAAATAAACACTCGTTAGAGAAGGTTAGATGAATTAGTTAGAATTGATCAAAATCTACCGTAATCATCAAAGAAAGAGGGAGAGAGAGATAGGAAGAGAAAGGGAGGAAGGGAGAGGAAAACGTATGATTGTTACGAATGAATTCCATTGTTTTGTTTCTTTTTTTGAATTTTATCAATTTTTATTCATTTATATAATTGAAAGTGTTAAAAATCATTAATTAATGGAACTAATTTTGACAAGAATATTCAAACTATTCGATGCATTTTATGCTATTATTGATGAGAAATTCGCCTGTCTCTTTGAAATTCAATACAAAATATCATTTTTAATTACTCATTTACACTATGCTAATATTTTGACCTTTGACCGTAAAGCAGACATTCCTTTACAAGTCAAAATCTTGTAAATTTGAATAAATTATTAGTGTTGAAAACAAAAATTTCCATTATCTTATATGATTGTAATTTAATTCATAAAAGATTAATTCTATTATCTATACGATTAGAAATTTTTATTGTAGCAAATTAATTTTATATTAATCAAATTTATTGATTTTGACAAATTAAACAAATTAATTTTAGCAAAATTAGTAAAATAAATTTTAGCAAGTTTGTTTTTATTTTTCGATTTCTCCCTCTCCCTTTTTTTTGCAAATTTAAATGAGAAATTGTAAAATTTTGAAAAATTCTAATCAACAAGTAAACCAATTTAAAGTATTCATCCATCTATCGTGTTTGTTGATTGTAATACATCTTCTGAACATCAAGTTGTTAGTGTAAGTTGTAGTAATCAAAGAATGAGAAGGATAGAAGCAATGATAAGTATCAGTACCATTTATCAATGTAACGCCTTGATGAGATATGCTTACCTGATTTTGTTACAACCATTCAATGAATTATGATGTATAGTTTTAGAAGAAACAAAGAGAGAGAGATAGATGAATGATGATGAGAAATGTATCTGTAAAGAGCAACTTGTCAACAACTGACACACATTTGTCTTCATCATTCATATTTGACAAGCAATGACTTCAACGCTTGTTCTCTGAGTAATGAAGGATTATGACAAGGATGGATGCTGATCATATTAACGATAATGATATTCGATGATAATAAAAATGATTACAATTATTAAGAAGAATATGATAATGATAGTAGCAATAGTAATGAAAATGGAAACGTGAGAACAATAATGATAATTTGGGATAATTTAATGATAACACTATCATTGTAGATATATGTAGCAAAACGATGATAAAAATATTGATTGCAAAATGATTACTTCAAATATGCTAATATGAATTAGTCTAATAAAGGGTAAATAAGCATTTCTTCTAAGTTATTTTTTGAATCTGTTGAAATTATGGTTTAAATTATTGAAAATGTTTAAAAATGAATGCATGAATGAATGAATGAACTATGCATGAATGAATTATCAAAATTGAAAATCTTGATTTAACTGATGATAAGATCATTAGTCAACAACTGGTAGCATTTTTTCAACCAAGCATTTTTCTGAACTAATCTTTTTTATTCACCTGAATATATCCATTCCTCTTTAACGACCTACTATTGTTTCACTTATCTTTCTTATCAGTGATATACTTAGTGTTATATGATAGGATGAATTAGCTTAGAAGTTGGACAGGACGAGCAAACTTTCATTTCTACTTTATCACAATAATACATTTGTATTTCATGATAAAAGATTTAAATGGACAAAAAGAAAAACTACCAAATCTTTTCCGAAAAATGTTCAATCGGAAAGTTAAAATTTCAAAATCGAAAAATAGCTACATTTGCCCTTTAGGATAAGTTAATCAGTTTATCAGACTATATCTCAAAATGATTATGGGATGATTCTTGCTGTTATTGTTTAGATATAAAAGTAATATGAAATGCTTAAAAACACGTATAAATGTAATTATCACGTAAATAAACGTAATATGATTTTAAAATTTCTTTTTTTTTTTAAATACTCAACTTTTTCCCCAATTTCCTCATTTGAAGATATTCAATAACGAAACGAAAAATTTTTGAGCTTTCTGCTCATCACAATTGTCGCATAATCTTCTTACCTTCCTTTATTTTCGGCAGCACGATCTCGTTGCCTTCTGTTCTTAAACCAATTTGATACCTGTGTTACAGTAAGATGTGTTTCCTCTGCTAATTCCTTCTTCTCTTTTGGTGATGGATAAGGATTTTTGGCATACCAATTTTTCAATGTATACCTTGATTTCTCCTAGAAAAAAAAAATTAAAAAAAATTGCAAAATTTTGAACAAATTTGATTCAAACTTAGTTTTAAAGTAAAATCGAAGCGTTATTGGTTAAAATGTGAAAAAGGAATGATCAAATTTTTTTTTTTGTTATTCTGAATAAACTTAGGGATAGTTTCCAAAATATTTCATTATTACGATGAAATTTACTTAGTTCAGATTTAACCTTAAATATAAATTTAAGCGTTTTGACATAGAAAAAGCATACGATGTTCGTAAAACGATATGCGTTACGTACGTGAACTTACGTAATATATGCTTGTAACACGTGTTACAAAATCAAATCAAAAATTAAAAATCTTTTTTAAATGATTTCAAAAGTACATACTCTAAAACAATAACTTGTTTCTTCACCATCCCATATTGTTCGAGGTAGTGGAAATTTCCTTCGTATTCGATATTTTCCAACTGCTCCTAATTCTCGACCTCGTATTTTTTCAGCCTGTACAAAAAAAAGTTAAATTATAACTTCTATGTTTTTGCATTTTCATATTTGTAAATTTTTAATTGCTTAACAGTTTGAGGAATGTATGCATCTAAAAATGAAAAACCTTAACATATAAAATTTGAATTTTTAAGCTTAAATTTAAACCCAAAATGAACATTTTATTATATAAGCGAGAAATTAAATTGGAATAACATTTGAAATTCAAATGAAAATTAAAATTGGATAATTAGTACTTCACTATAATGTGCTTTGAGCCATAAATCTTGTAATTCTGCATGATTTTCTGGAGAGAATTGATTAGTTTCAAGGATTCGATAAAGTTCTTTGAAATTTTGCCGATGGAAACATATAAATGCCTGAGCCTTGAGGACACTTTCATTGCGTCGTAAATCATCTCGATTTGGGATTGCCCAAATGAATTCAGCCTTGAAATTGCCAGTGATCATTAGGATTAACGTATGCAATTATCTTTATCAAATTTAATTAACATATCAATAATATCAATGATATGTTATCCTAAAAGGATCAACCAATCAATCGAATTGCGATAAATCACAATTTAATAGTTTTTTGAATAATTACATAAAATCCTTTAAAGTTGTAAGTTTTTAAAATTTAATGAATTTACTGCCTTTTTTTCTTTTTCTTTTTTTTTAATTCCCTGTACTAATGAAACGATGTTTTACAGTAACAGCAATAGTAATAATTTTTACTGTTATGATATGAAATATGAATAGTTGAGGAATGGTAATTAATTATCAATAAGCGGAGGCTAAATTAGTGAATTTCAGAAGCTGTGGTGACATGTATAAGTTATAAGTAACCTAAGTTATAAGTATATAAGTAACCTAAGTTATAAGCAACCATTGATTAAGGCTTAACATTTATTCTTCTACGATCTCTCTTTAGAACGAAGAATCTATTGGATGAATCATTACAGTAATACTGATAATTTTTAGTTATCACTGTGATAAGATATGATAACGAACTATTGCTACTTCATTAAAAATGGAACCATGATACTGTATTATTAAAAACAGAGCCATAATAAAGAATTGGTATATTACTGAAAATATGAATCATTACTTTGTTATCGAAAACAAAATTATGATAAAGAATTTAATAGATTGTTGCAAATATGGTTACAATACTGAATTACTGTTATATTATTGGAAAAAAAAAGTATGAAGAATGAAATGAGAAGAATACCAAACGATCGATGTCACCCGATTGATGAAGAACTTCACAAACACAAGCCACCTGATCACTATCAAATGTGCTCTCACTGAAATGAAATATAAGTATGAATAAGTTAGCATAAGTAATATCAAAATAGGCAAATGGATTGATAGAATAGGTTTAGGTTACTATACATGTATATCACCACCGATGATAAATGTATCGCATAGGTCTAGTGTGATTTTGCAATGTTGTCGTAATGTTAATCGGATACTTTTATAGCTGATAGAAGGATAAAATTTCGGTTATTCTATCAGTTTGTCATATTTGCTACTGTAACTTGTTAAATTTTTATTGTATATTGGGAAAGGATGACGGAAATATTGTCACATCATACTGTCAACGAATGTAACAAATGAAATGAGTTTGTTTTATTTTTCACGGGAATTTATTTGTATATATAATATCGTATTTGTATATGAGTACCAAATTACATATGATGATGATGACGATGATGTGTGTCTCGATCTGTATCAATGTGTATGTATGTTTAGAAATGTTGGGAATGATATATCGGATACTATCATATGTCAACAATAATTTAGGTAACATATTCTTTTCACCTGAAATTTTCCGGGAAAAACTCACGGTTGAATAGGTAACTGATATTGTTGTTCCATCATGCCTTTAAGTTGAAATTTGCCAAATGTTATGGCTATTTATAATGATAAATTAAATGAAAGTGAAGTGTACAATTTAGATTGATATATGGCGGCGAATTAAGTAAGCAAATTGGATCCTGTAATAAAATACTGGTTGTCTCCGGTTGGATGATTAGTTAGTTTGGTGGTATTGAGAGATATGGTGGCGCTGATAGTTGATGATGGTAAAAGGTGATGATGATGATGATATTGTGAAATGGGAGAAGCAAAGCGGTGCGTTTTGCCTCGAAAAGCTAACTCATGTCGTCACCTTCCTCTCTCTCTCTCTCTCTCTCTCTTTACTTTCACTTAAAGGCTTTAACTACTGTCACTCTTCTAGGACTTCCTATTGGGAGGGATTGAAATTACTATAGCTTAGAGGAAGAAAGGCGGTGTTCCTAAGTAAGCAATCATCGATCAACCATCCAGTAACTATAACAATCATTAAAACCGAACGTTTTTAATTTTTCAACAACCTGTTACCATTTGTAATTACATCTTGTCATCTCATCCATGTCACTCTTTTATTAATTTTGTATTTTTATGATCGTAAAATGATAGATATAAGTAAGTATGGTAATAAGATGTTACAGTAGCAAATGAAGTGATAAGTAGTAGTTGTTATGAAATGAATACTTATCTCTTAAGTGATGGTGATAATTTGTTAATGATGAGACAATTGAAACAGTTATAATTACTGAATAATAAAACGATCATTTCGACGAATACATTAAATCAATGTAGAAAATTTGAAAAAATTTAAACTATTGGATTTGATCATTTCTCTCTGATATTTTATAATTGAATTTTATAACTAAATCGATTTTATAATTTTTGTATGAAAATCGAAAAAATAGAACAAGTGATTAAAATGGATCAAAATTTTATGAGATTAAACAAAATGATAGGTCCTGATATTTTGTTACTGATATGATCTGAGAGGAAGCAATCAAATAAGTAAAATGCATCAAATAAACGTGAAAAAAAAGGACAAGAAATGGATTTGATGTTATTATTTGCTTATAATGGTGGTTTTGATGTGACGATAGTAATGATTGTGGTGGTAATGGTGGTAATGGTGGTGGTGGTGGTGGTGGTGGTGGTGGTGGTGGTGGTGGTGGTGGTGGTGGTGGTGGTGGTGATGGCGGTAGTGGTGTAGTATACCAGAAATCAAAGCTGCGGTCTAATGCAATGCATCTTCTTCAAACTGATGCTTGGATCGAGGCATTTCAATAGTTTTCGAAGTAATCTTCTGGCACAAAGGCTATCATGGCTGTCACATTTCCGCTTAACACCTTGTCAATCATTCAACAGTCCTCAACAGACTTCCTCCAGTTCTTGCAATGTATGTTTTAATGCTTCGTGATATTGCTGCTACTGCTACATTGGTATTACTTCGACAACTTTAAATAATTGTAGTAATAATGATGATAATGGTGATAATAATAATAATAATAATAATGATAAGGCTAGTGATAATGTGTTTCAGCTCATACAATCTACGACGCATGTTAATACTGAATCGAATTTTTATTTCAAAATTTTTCAATAAATAAAAAAGTTTGAAATTGATTTTAAAAATCAAAAATTTTTTTCTATTACTCTAATAAGGTTTATTGTTTTTCATCCTGGTTTCAATACTTTTTAAAATTTTTTTTTCTTTCTTCTTTTAGATGAATTTCTAAAATATTCTCCTACTGTATTTTTACTTCTACAATTTTCAAATCTTTGTTTACAAAAATATTAAGTATTAATTGATAATGCAACATATTTGCAAGGCAAAAAAAAATGAACAAAAAGGACTAATAATTAATGTAAAATGAAATTTAAACTTATTTTAAAAGTTGGCGTTTCAAAAAATTTAAAATTAAAAGGAAACCATACAGTTGACAAAATTTGAATCGATACAAACGTTTGCTATATAAACAATTCCCGTTATTAGGTTGCGATATTTTTACCGGGATATCATCGTGGATAAATCGTATTTAATTTGATTGGTAATTATTCCATTTCTTATCTGCAGATCATTGGTTATTGATTTCTTCAAATATTTCTTTCTTTCTTTCTCTCTCTTCTCTTTCTCTTATTTGATTTTTTTCTTTTTTTTTGTGGAAGAAAAAATTTTATTTTAAGTTTCTTGAAAAAAAGAAGTCACATTTCTACCGTAGTATTTTAGTATTTAGAAAAAAAAAAAGAAAGAAAAGCAATTTTTCAGTTCTTTGCTTTCTTTCTTTTATTTTTTCTCTTTTCTCTTCTTTTATTCTTTTTTCCTTTTTTTCTTTGAAATTTGATAAAATGAAAAGTGGTATATATATATATGCAACTTTGTGGATATGTTAACTTCTTAATAATTAGAACAATAGAATTGAAATGTTTTTGCGCACAAATTAATTAACAACAGAGGAATTCCACCCTTCACCTTTCACCTTTCTTTTTATACGGTAGTGTTTCTGTTCAGTTCTATATCTTTACTGCTGTAAAATAGAATATTATGCTTGAAAAGGATCAAAATGTTCCAGCAAGATGATAAAATGGAAAAAAATGCAGAAAATTTTGTTAAAATAATTGAAAAAGTTACCGCCAAATCCCAAATTTTCAACTTTAGGCTAGGAAATTAGTGTTTCTATATGATTTGTTTAATATATTGACAGTATTTTAATTTAGAATAAATAAGCCTGGATATTTTAATTTAGAATCATTAAACCCTGAATATTTTAATTTAGAATAATTAAAGCCGGATATCTTAATTTGGAGTAATTAAACCTAGTTATTGTAATTTAGAACAATTAAACATTTAAGCAGTTTCAGATAATAAGGTTTCGTAAAGTCGGGCTTCTACTTCTAACACACCAAAAGTTAGACTGCTTTTCGAAAGTTAAGTAAAGTTTTGCAATTCTTCCGTTTGTACAACATTTCCATACTTTTTGTATCATTTCCATTTGCACCAAAAATGAAGTGACATTTGTTTGATTTCCATAAAGCCTTATGGAGGAATTCATACAAATTCAATTTTTCTTTTGTTTATTTTAGTGCCAAAGAACGAAAAATAATCAGATGAAAAGGTAAAATATATTACCTGTAAACTTTTATCCTTTTTTCGTTTTCAAAATATCATAAGATTTAAAAATATTTGAAAAATTAAAAAAATTTACAGTAAAAAAGCAATAAAGTATGATTTAACATATAATACTGTTAGGATTGATAAATAATATACAATTAATTCATTAATCAATCATTAGAAAGTTTTTTTTGATGGAAAAAATTTGATGAAGTTATACAAATAATTAAGGATTTGTTGCAGACAGAAATAAGATATTATTTATATATTACATTTAATTCATTTCATTCCCAATAACATTTCTTCCAACAATTTTTCAACATCTTCCATCATAATGATATCGTTATCATTAATTCCTGAAATGAAATTATTCTATGATTACAAATATTGCAAAATTGAAAAAAAAAGAAATTTTCAAAAGAGAGTTATGAATTGTATAGTGATAAGAAGAGGAATTGAAAGTACAAAGTATTTAGTAAGGAAATAATAGAGTAATAGGTAGTGATGAAGGAAAAAAGAATCGGACCGATAAATCTCTTTAAATTTTAATATTTTCGCTGACGAGAGCAATTCTATAATAATGATAAATAATCATATGTCTAATTAAGCAAATCTATGATAAGGATAACTAATTTACATCATATTGAGCAAATCTATGGTAATGATAACTAGTTCATGTATAACTAGATAAAATCTATGATAATAATAACCAATTTAGATCTAATTAAGCAAATCTACGTTAATGATAAAGTAGTTCATATCTAATTAATAAATTTATGGCAGTGATATGCAGTTCACAATTAGGCGAACTGTAAGAATTTTAATTAGTTTGCTAAAATCATTGATTCATTTCTTGTCTTAAAAATGAAACATCTACATTTAATTAAAAGTCGAACAATAACATCTGTAAGTTTTATTTTGTAACTGTTATACTAAGAAATAGAGAGTTGGAATTTTAATAAAACACTTTTCCATTCATTAAATAAAAGTGTGTAAATTATTTGTGATAGGAAGAAGAGCATGTAAAAAGGTTTTCTGGATTATCCGGAAGAGGACCAGCTGAGCTAACAGAAGAAGTAAAAGGACAAAACATTAGCAGTTCACCGGAAGTCAGGCAAATAATTACTCCAAATGAACGGATGGTTTAATCCATTAACCGTGGTAAACCACTTCATCAGCTTTATGTCAACTAATCTATCGAATGATATCCGACATGCTATCTGTCACTTTTGAGGTCACCAGAACAATTTATATGCCATAATTAGCATCACTGAGGTGTTATACCAGAAGCATTCACCATCGTCAAACATTTGTGAAACATTAATTTTTGATTTTAATATTAAGAGAAGGAGGAGGAAAAGTTCAAAGGGTTACCGATAATGGACTTAAATGACCATTGTTATAGGGTAGGGCAAAAAATGGGTTAAATAAATTGGTGCCGCTCGGGAAAACATCATTTATCATTTTGTATTTCCTCATTTTTTTGGTTATTCAATTATTACTGTCAATACGAATCGTTAATTTAGAAATGAAATGAATTATAGGAATAACAGATAAGTTTGGAAAAATTCTTAAAAGAATTGAAATTCCGTGCAAATTATTTGAAATTTGTCAAATTTCGAGTATTCACATTTGCTAAACGATTTTTGTCATATAAAAATAAATATACAATATATTATAAAATAAAAAGGATCTTCTAGTAATTAAATACAAATATTGATTGAGAATCATGAAAGCAATTAATAAACTCTTATTTCTGAGCACAATTTATTAATGAACAGTGTAGGAAACTCTGAGCAATATTTTTTTCTTTTTGTCTTAATTCAAAATTTCCTTTTCTGTTTGCGCTCTTTCAATAAATTATGCAAATTTCACTGAGGTGAAATAAGAGAAATTTCAAAATCAACTTTGGTGCCAAAAGCAGTTAAGAGTAAATATCGCTTGAAATTTAAGTCATAAAAACCAAATTAGTTACGCAATTACAATTTATTTAGAATAGAATTCATTAAACTTCTGAAATTTCTGATATTTTTTAACTGAATTTCCTAATCAATTACCGTATTCTTTAACAACGGATAAAGTTGGCACCGTTGAAGCTGTCACACTGTCAACGACTATTGTTGATAGCTTTTGACTGTTGTTATCAACTTTACCAATATTATTATTGCTTTTAGCGCTTGTCTGTATATCCTGAAAATATCTTTCATCTCAATTAACTTGTAATTTCTAAAAAATTGAAAATAAACGGAAATAGTTGAAAGTGGGCGGAAGGGAAGAAAAGGGGGGATGACATAGGAAGAGTTTGTAAATGATAAAAATGAAAGAGTTAGAAAGAGAGGAAGAAGCAACCATTAGTAATGGGATACGGTGGTTTGGTATCAAATTTCGTCTTTTTGCCATTTCAACGGAAAACAGAGGCACATATAAACATTAGCTTCATTTAAACTTCATTCTAGAAATATGCTTGACAGATAGAGAAGGAGGTAAAAGTATGTAAGTATAAGAGTGTGCTATGAAAGAAAGTAAATATTCTGTAGTTAAATCTAAATAACTCATTCTTGCTCATAAGATATTTGGTTGCGCAATTTGGCCAATGCAATTGCATCAATTGCGCCATAAAGTCAACATAGCCAGAGGAATCAACCACCCCAACAAAACTCTTTATACTTAAAATATTTCATCCTCAAAATTAGCTATATATGCAATAATACTTCCGTTTGTTTTTATAACAGAGCATCAAACATTTTAAGTTATAAATTTAATTTATAATGTTAACAAGTATTTAATTTCATTTTGAATTAATTGAGAGAATTATTTTCGAATAAACTATAAATTACGACTAACTCAACATTTTCCTACAATTCGAAAACAGTTTATCTAATAGTTATTTTCAGAATTTGTTAGCATTTAAATTTCAAACATACCGATTTATTTCTATTTCGAATTAATTCAATCTTATATGAATACTTTGAAAAAAGCACATTCAGTTTTTATTTCTCACATATGTATGAAATTTAAGAAATGAATAATTTGCGGCACTTTGGAATTCCTAAAATTATGTTTAACTTTTAAATTTCAATTCCTAAAATCTTAGACCAATGAATGCCAGAATGCAACAAACATATAAATATTTATACAAATATGAAGTTGGAAATTATTTACCTAAATAATTTTACAAATTAATTTAGATTTATACCTCCACGAAAATTAGAATTTAAATTGAAACGAACCTTTTTTAAATCATCAAGCATTGAAAGATTCACTTTAACTGTATCCAAATATTGCGTAGCAACTGTTGGTACCGGAACATTAGCAACACCAGTTGATGCAATTCGTCGTGTAGAATATGGCTTTCTGAGTGATCCGGATGATGACTTCTTGTATGTTCCGGATTGCTGTTGCCTGTTTGGTTGTCCATTGGAAGATGCATGAGACGGTTTTGGTCTACTTACCGGTTTCATGCAACGAGTTTTCCGTAATCCAGCACCACTGTCATTGTTTCCATTAGTGGAATTCTTCCGATTTTTCGAATTTTTTCCATTAAATATCTTAAAGAGCAAAACTGGCTCAAATTATTAATGATTTGTTGAATCGTTGTTGATTATTTTTATAGAATTAACTTCAGACTATCACATTGGTGACATTTCTGATTTGAAAATAATCCAATAAAACTGGAAGACTCCTTTTTTAGTATTTCCACGATAGTGAAAATAATCTTACCCTTCACTAAAAATCCATCAGACTGGAATAGATGAATGGAATCAAACAGATTCACTACCATGATACTATTCTCTATAATTTCACCATTCAATAAAAATCTGTCATGCCGGAATACCGGACCGGAATAGACTGGATACAATCAAACGGAAATAAATGAATTGAAGAAATTTATAAACGAATGTGAAAAGTTTCCTTTGCTTTTATTAGTTTGTTTTTTTTTCCTTTTTTTTTTAAATCCTTGTGAACAATTTCAACTGCAGAACGAAATGGAAATGAAACAGGTGGTACTTGAATATACCATTATATATTGAGTCATGTTATTTAATACTATGCACTAAAACGTAAGTTTGGCGTCACGCACTTCCACGTATTATACAATTAGCGCTACTTTTTTGTAAAAGGAAAAATTTGCGACCGAAATTTTTAAGATTTAATTTTTAAATTATAAATAAAAAAGTATACTTTTTTGTTTGATAATGATATGCTTTTGTTTGTTTCATTGCAAATTGTATCTTTAGCATCTTCTAATTTTTGTTTCTTCTCTGTAATTTCAGTTGCTTTTTTCGATGTGACGTTATTGTTACTTCTAGCAATATTATTGCGATTTTTGAATCGACGCAAAAAATGCGCATTTGGTCCTTTGCTACTATCAATATCGGGTACATTCTCCTTCCAATTTTCAACACTAAAAATACTATTAAAATAAGATTACGATTATGAAAGCTAAAAATATGTTTATATTTGAAAAGTTGGAAAGAAAGAGTTGTGAAATGAAAATATTCCAGAGGAATTGAATCAATAGATGTAGTAATTAAATTAAAAAATAAACTTAACTAACCTAAAACTTAGTGACCCAATTAATCTCATATTTATTAGTCTTGATTTAAACCACTATTTAAATCGATTTCTTAAATATTTTTCAAAAAGTTTCTAAAAAAGATATACAAAATCCAAAAGTAACAAAAGTATTCAAAGAATTAATCCTATTCATTTTTTTTCCCATGAAATACTGGAAAAAAAACTCAGAAGAAAACGATTAACCTTATTTTTCCAGCATCCCATTCTCGATCCCATTCTCCAGGTTTCTTAGGTTTTAATATTCCTTTCTGGAAAAAAGAAAGATAGAAAAACTTTTGTCACTTACGCTTTATCCAATTAAAAGTTATTGGGCACAAAAAGTTTATTTTGAAACTTTTCGTTTCATTCAATGTATTACACTTTTGATGGCGGAAAATACTTTTTCGGCATAAAATGATAAAATGGTAACAAAAAAGTGAAAGATTTCTTTCGACGTATTTCACGTATACTTCACGTAAAATGCCGTCAATCATTTATTCATTTTCAAATTAAATTGAACTATAAATGATTGGAAATTGATAAAGAAGCGGATTTCATAATAAAATTTTCAAAGACAAATACATAGAAGCCTGATAATTTTCAGTCCTCAATATAAATATATGGTATTTTAAAATATTGTATAAAACTTATCTATTTACTAGTACTTGCCAAATCTATTACTTACGTGAACCAACGTATGTGATCGTACTGTATCAAAAATTATTTGCTCATACGTATAAGTAATTTTTTAAACGTCATTACAATCAAATGTTAGCTTTAATTTGCTTTAATCTTAGCAGATAATAATACTTAATAATGACAGTCTAAATTGTAATTTCAATAATAATAATAAGAAGGAGAAAAAGAGTGAGTGAATGAAAAATGATAATATTGCTTAAATTAAATTAAAATGTATGAATGGATCAAAGATTAAACCTTAACTTCAAAGCCGATAAACTTAATATGAGAAGAGAAAGGAAGTAAAGGGGAAGTTTAGCATAGAGAAAGGTAATATGCTGATTTTGATTATCCTTTAACTTTGATTTGTTGAAAAATTTACATTTCTGTACATTGCTCCTTTTGCGCCACTATAAATGCGCATTTTGCCATATTCATTGACAAAGTTTGCGCGGTCTTCTTCTACAAGCTATAATAAAATTAAACGAATTGAAACAATAAAAAACTTATTAAAAAGCCAAAAATTAAATTTTATTTATACAATTAAATTAATTTGTCATTTTGAAAAAAGAGAATTTGGAAATTGAAATTTGATACAAAGTTAATGTAGGAATAAAAAAAAGAGAGAGAATGAAAGAAAGAAAAGATGAATTTATTCAAATTTAATTTTCTTCTTTTAAAATAAGTGAAGAAAGGAGAAGATAGAATGTTGCCTATAATTCTTCTTAATTATACAATTAACAACAAACTTAATGAACTTGTTAAAATTAATATTTCCTATGAATATGTATTCCTTCTTTTTTTTTTTGCTGGATATTGAGTATGTGATTATCATGATCGATGTTAAGGATGTTGATAATAGATCTAACTTCTTTCCTTTGTTCGATCAATTGATTCCTTTTTCGTATTTCAGCAATTTTCTTATCCAATGCTTCTTCGTCTTCTTTGGATCGAATACGTCTTTGATTAGCAATTAATTCAGGCTTTTTTCTATTACTTTTGCACTTTCTTCTTCTTCGATTTTCGTTATCATAACTTTTATCAGAAAGAATTTTTTTTTCCTTTGTATTTCTTGATAAATTATGCAAATTATTTTTAAAAAAAATGCGCAATATTATTGGAATAAAATTTGAAAAATTTTACTTCAAGAAAAAAAGAAAAGAAATATGATAACATTACTGATTGAAAGTTTTCGAAAGATTTTGAAAACATTGAAAAGAGGCCAGAAAAGACTTTCAGTATCATTTGGACATAAAACTAATTTTCCAAATGGCTTTCCATCTCATAAATTACATGGAATGATGAGAAGTTCATGTATGTCTCTCAATGACAATTTCCCATTTTTCTACAAAAAAAAAAAAAAAAAAAAAAAACAAGAAAAAACAAAAAAAACTATTTAAGGTACAAAAAGCCCGAAAAAAGAAATCAACCTCATCAATCGAATAATATACACTTTACTGATAATCAATCCATTCCTAACTGATAAGCAACGTGTTCCACTAGGTTTATTTCAAAGTCTCGAAGAATGCACAAACTGAGTAATTTTTGTTGGGTCAAAAGTAGGGTCGTAAGAAATACTTAACACAAAAATAACAAATGCTAACTTTTCTGCATCAATCAATAATTTAATTTTAAATTAAATTTTTTACTTTTCAAAATCACGCTGAAAACGTGTACTATTTACTTTTCATGTGTTATCTTACGAAGTACATGTCATGTTTCTTAAATAAATGCATAGCAAAAATGCAACACTGGAAAAAAAATAGATCAATAATTTGAATAAATTTCAATCAATAAACTTAATTTAAAAAATACCGAAATGAAATACTTAAATAACAAAAATAGAAAAATGAAAAAAATACTAGACTATTTCCAACATTTCTCCATGAAGAAAAGTGGAAAAGATAAGTTGACTGACAGTAAGAATAAGTGAGGAATAAATTGGGAAAAATGTCGAGGAAAAAAAAAGCGGCGGAAATTGTCATCAATGTATTCATTCATCCTTTGGACCACTCAAAATAACAATTTTCTTCATATCCATAACATCGTTCTTTTCTTTTTTTTATATCCAATAAATCGAATAAATTAAAATCTAGAATTATTTTAATTAAAACTTTAAATGAGGGAATAACGGAATTAGTAACAAATGTGAAATGGAAATGAATGAAATAGTACGAAGGCAAATTTGAATATTGATAGGCCAGTTGAATTTAATTTCGAACAATCATTTCTAAATATGCAATAATAATATATTTGATAATTAATAATAATAATAATAATAATAATAATAATAATAATAATAATAATAATAATAATAATAATAATAATAATAATAATAATAATAATAATAATAATAATAATAATAATAATAATAATAATAATAATAATAATAATAATAATAATAATAATAATAATAATAA